CTCCTGTGTCTGCACCCTGTATCTTCGGGTTGGAACAGAGTCCTTGTAGGTAGAAGCCCTCACCGCAGTGCACAGTACACTGGGCCACAACTGAGGTCCTTACTGTGCTTTTCCTGACAATTCATCCTAACTGACTCTCCACACACATTTTCTGACTATAGGTGAAGGTGTTTCAGATGATGGTGTTTGCCATTTTGGCCTGTTACTCCGTTTGGTTTTTTAAAAAAATCTTTTTTATATATACAGCAGGTATACATGTTAATAACTTTGTTATTGTTTTACCCTGTTAACCTATATTGAATCAGTTTAATTATGAGGCCAACCAAAGAACCTTGAAAAGAAGAAGTCAATATTATTTTGCCTTTATAATGTCATTGCCCTCATCTTTCACAGTCACTCCATTTAACTCCTTAGAAGAAAGGAAGACCCTTAGGGTTTGGCCTGTGATGCTGGCTGTGAAAGATTTCACACCTAAAAGAAGCCATGCAGAGAGGAGATTTATCTTACTTTCCAAGAGAGGAAAGGACCAAGTATTAGTCACTACAGGGCAAGGAAGGAAGTGTGGCTTCGGCTTTTCAACAGTGGCTGTTGCTAAGAGACAAGGAATGGAGGGGCCTTGGGTTGAGCTGAAGTTGTGCAGATATGAGGGGCTGTCTTTAAAAGTTATAGCTTGTTTGCTTTCCAGGCGACAGTATTCTAGATGCGCTAGGGAGGTGTCGCATCAGTATTTTTCCCAAGCCTATAAAATATGACTAGAGCAAAAGCTACGATGAGTGCTAAAGAGGCTTGTTTGAAGGGGTGAAGGGAAGGAAACTTTCTACTAACTAGAGACCTCTTGGTCCAAAATATCCCAGGGGTGTGACCACAACAGGAAGGAGGGGTATGCAAGACTGGAGCATTGAGAGTAGCTTATGTTGTTCAGCAGTTTGAACAGAGGAGCTGTATGAATTAGAGGAGCCAACAGTCTTGGGGTTTAATTAGCAGGTGCTTCTCATAAATTGTGGAAGGCCACAGCAAAGAAACAGACCTGTTTCTTGTCCTTACGAATACCTCGACCACATTTAGAACCTAAGGCTCTATTGACCTGAAGAGTGACTACCTCTAGGAACGTTGTCGCCAAACTGAGGCTCGCAAGCCACATGCAGCTCCTTGGTCCCTTGAGTGTGGCTTTTCCACAAAATACCACGTGCGGGCGTGCACGTACAGTACGATTGAAACTTCGTGGCCCATGTGCAGGAGTCGGTATTTTGTGGAAGAGCCACACTCAAGGGGCCGAAGAGCCGCAGTTTGCTGAATGCTGTTCTAGGAGACCAGATAAAGGGACATCAGCAATACTAGGGGCATTGTGTACCTGAGGAAGTCAGCAATGGGTTCTGGAGTTAATAAACCACTCATTGAATTTCCTCCTCAACCCACAGGCTCTACCTCCCTAGTATGGACAAAAATGATGGCACACAGTAAACCTAGCAATCTCTGGGAGCCAGGCATGGCATGGCCAATCTTGCAAACTCAGAGGCTAAAAGTAACCATAGAGGATGCCTTGAAATTATAACTTTCTAAGTAAAAGCTAGTCACAGGGGTAGTTATGTTCTAGTCTGATTTTTGTTTTTTTGCAAAAAGCAAATTTTGCCTTATTGAGCCTGCCTGTTGTCTTTTTTACATCTGGGATGACATACCTTTGAATTTTCAGAGACATTTCTGTTTCACAGCCTCCTAAGACCACAATCTTCCCAACACAGAAGATCACAGAGCCCTGATTATTATCGTTCTCAGGTTAAATATTAACTGTTTATTGAAAGGACAAAGCAGAAATACTCCCCTCCCTCTCCCCTATCTTGCCTTGTAGGGCTGGGCCCTCAGCCCAAGCCCCCTCCTTTTCTGAGTGACCACAAGAATGCCGGTATTGACCTAACACCCCCAACCACCACCTGAGTGGACCAATGAAGCTCCAGGAATGCAGCTAAGGTCCTGATAAGGCTATAGTGGGGGACGGCTCAAACCTCAGAATGTGTTGGTCACTTCCTGACCTTTGTGCTGAAAAACCCTGACCAGAGTGACCAATCTCTGTAACTCACGTCACTTACCTAACCCCACCCAAATGACTAGCCCTATATAACCTTTGTTCTCCTGGGGCTTGCTCGATCTTGTCTCGCTGCTGCGGTCGGTAAGGAGGCTAGGGAGGGAGCCAAGCCCGGGCTTGAATAAAGACTCTTTGCTTTTGCATCGGAAGCGGCTCCCTAGTGGTCTGTCTTTGGGGATTTTGAAATCTGGGCATAACACCTGAAGTCACTGCCCCTTCCTTAGTTATCTGGACCAGCCAGAGCAGGAGGAGCGAGGTTGGCAACCTCAAGGTAAGAGCCGGGTGAGGGGCAGGGGCACCAGGGGAGGAGAGCTGCCTCACCAAGATGTGGGAGTCCAACAGGGGGTTCGTTATCTGGAACAGGGCAGCAGGCTCAGCCTCAGGGAATGGGGTCCTCAGCAAAGGGGGGCCTAGATACAGCAGGGACATGATTTGCAGGCAGGAACCAGATCTGCCTTCTAGAAGGGCAACTGAGGACAAAGGGTGAGAGCCAGGGTTAGCCGGCACCCTGGCCTTGGAATGTGTGCCTTGGAATGTGTGGGGGGAGCGGGGCAGGGAGTGTCACTGGGTCAAGGACCCCAGCTGCTCCTTTCTCTGTACCCAGTGGGGCCACCCCTCACCCAGCTACCACTTGTCAGGTGACCACCCCCTCAGGTCCTCCCCAGATGTGTCCAATGGCAGGTTCTTATCCATGGGTCCTGCTGGGAGCAGTGAGCTGGGGGAGGAGATTCTCCCTCCCCCTCTGATATCTGTCAGTCTGTTCCATGTATTCATCTCTCAGCATCTATTTTGTTAATCAGTTTATTTTGTTCATTAGATTCCACATATAAGTGAGGTCATGTGATACTTGTCTTTCTCTCACTGGCTTATTTTGCTTAGCATAACACTCTCCAGGTCCCTCCTTGCTGTCTCAAAGGGTAAGAGATCCTTCTTTTTTACTGCTGCAGAGTATTCCATGGTGTAAATGTACCAACGGTTTTTAAAATATATATATATTTTTTTTTATTTTACAGAAGAAACGAAAGGTAGAGAGAGAAAAATCAATGATAAGAGAAAATCATTGATTGGCTGCCTCCTGTGTACTCTGCAATCAAGCCTGCAATCTGGGCATGTGCCCTTGGCCTAAATCAAACCTGGGACCCTTCCTCTGCAGAGTGATGCTCTATCCACTGCACCAAACCAGCTAGGGTTGTATCATAGCTTTTTTTAAAAAATATATTTTATTGATTTTTTTGCAGAGAGGAAGGGAGAGGGATAGCTAGAAACATCGATGAGAGAGAAACATCGATCAGCTGCCTCTTGTATACCCCCGACTGGGGATGTGCCCTTGGCCGGAATCGAACCCGAGACCCTTCAGTCCGCAGACCGACGCTCTATCCACTGAGCCAAACCAGTCAGGGCTATCACAGCTTTTTAATCCACTCATCTATTGATGGACACATCTTCTATTGTAAATTGTCTGCTATCAGCATAAGGGTGCATACATGTTATCTGATTGTTTGAGGTTTCTTAGGATATATTCCTAGAAGTTGAATCACTGGAACAAATGGAAGTTCCATACTAAATTTTTTGAGGAAAGTCCATATTGATTTGCGTAATGCCTGCACCAGTTTGCATTCCTACCAGCAGTGTATTGGGGTTCCCTTTTTTCCACATCCTCCCCAGCACTTGTCATTTGTTGATTTGTTGATGGCAGCCATTCTGAAAATGGTGGGGTGTTAACTAATGGTTGCTATAATTTGCTTCTCTCTGGTGATCTGTGACTTTAAGCATCTTTTCACATGTCTCTTGGCCATCTTATCCTCACTGCAGCCCAGGCAGAGCTGACACATTCGATGGCATCAGAAGCAGATGGTCTTAAGCATGAGTGTCTGTTTTGTGACATTAACTTTGTATCATGGATTCAATGGAGGCAGGTTAGAGGCAGTTAGAGACTTGAGCAGCCTCCCTCTGCTCGCCACCCCACCCCCACCCCCAGCCCCCAGCTACATTTGGCTTGAGGGAGACACATGCCTAGTGTCCAGAATGAAGACACAATGCCTGTCATTCAGAAGAGCTGATCCTGAAGAAAGGTATGCAAAACCAGTAGCTGAAGGAAGCCAGGCAGGTGCAGGAGAAACAAACTTGCCCCGGAAATCACCTCCCCTAAAGGCGCTGGAGGAGCCTGAATGTACTTGGTGTTTTCTTGGGCTATTTTCTCCCAAATCCATTCCTGGAAGCAGCTGAAGAAATACGATATTCTAGACTTGGAGCCTAGGAACTACATTACCCAGAAGGCCATGCATGGAATGCCACCAGGCTGAGCCAATGGAGACTCAGAAAAGGCATTTTCCTTTGGCCATTTCTGTGGGGAGGGACTAGTCCTCCCGGCAGGGTTTTGTCTTCTCTCAGTTCGGCCTCAGGCACTCAGGATTTCCCGGTCGCACACTATTGTGGAGGAGGCTGGAAAGTGGTGCTCCCTGCCTCAGAGCCCATGGTCGGAGCCCCCGGTGGTGCTCACAGCTCCCACGTGGGTTGAAGCTCGGAGTCGCCACCCGAACACACGCCAGGGCCGGGACAGGGACCGCCATTCCTGCAGCGGCTTCTACTCCCGCCCCGCTCAGCCCACAGAGGGCAATGGCGGCGCCCCCGTTGAGGAGACGGGTTGAGGTGAGTTCGATTCCCCCAGGCCCCC